GGGATCTAATTAATTTATTATTTTTACGAGGAACAGGGTTTAGACAGATTTTGCCAACAGGAAAATGTATGGGAGTCAAAATGGGAGAATAACTGATTCTTGGTTTCTGTTTGAATAACATACAAATTTTAGACGAAATAGCACCAAAAACTTTGGCATATTCTCCATTGTGGAAAATGACTCGAGAAGTTGGACCAGCTAGAAGTGCGAGTTGCGTGAGAACCTTAGGAGCCTTTTTCCACAGGGATTCCAGCTCTTTCTCGCCCTCATGTCCCTCCGTCGTCGGACAAACTTGCCCCCACTTCCTCGCCGCCTCGGCCGTATCTAGACCCACAGCTAGTTCCTGATTGTCCCTCTGGCTTTGTGGCGTGGAATAACAGCACAGACCATACCTTCGGGAAAATAACCAGCCCTTAAGTTCTCTCAAGCAGCACATAGGGAGCTGAGCATCCATCACTCCATGTGGAATTCACCGCTGGCCTCTTCACTGTGCTTGTCGGCACAGTTTGCACATGGATACTATAAAAATCAACCACTATTCTTCCTTTTTTCCTTTTTTTTTTTTAAATGAATACGCCTTAACAGTTCCATCTTTGTGGATCCCTCCACAACATGCAGTCAAGTCTCCCGTCTCTCGTTTCAGGCGAGTTGGACCAGTCAGACATTTCAAAAGCTGCAGGAGTCTGGCCCTCAATGACTGAGTTCGGCAGCCCTGCTGTAACGCGGCTCTCAATCAGGATATTTTTAGTCGTATAAAGCGGGTTTCAGTTGTTAGTTATCGCCACCGTTCAGAAGTTACTGTATTCACACTTTAAATGTTTGGAAATCTCTCTTTCATGGAGCATGTTGTGCACACGTTCCTCCTCTCATTCCTTCCTTCTTTGTGCTGCTGCTGGGTTTCATCTCCAAATGCTTTTATTCAAACTTTTTCTTTTAGATTTTTGTCTAAATGAAAAAAGCGACTTCAGCAGGGATGAACAATTCCTCAAATGCTTCAGTTACAAACATCCTGCTGGTAAAATGAGACTCCATGCTTCGTTTTGTTCACATTTTAAACACTGAGCAGTACTTGGTGTGTTTCACAGGGGACAGTTTTTGCATTCGTGCTTCTGTTTCATAAAGTGTGAGAAGACTGGAGATTAAAGGAAAAAAGGGTAAAAAAAACAACATAAGTTTGAGATTATATCATGACAGTAAGACTTGGCTGCCAACAGATATTCATTCTTCACACGCCTTGAAAACACTTAATATTTACCGTTAGAATAACAAGCAAGTGCAGCATCCAGACTCATGAGGCCTAAACCTAAATAGAGATATAATTTTAACCAATTTTAAATGACAACCTGCAGTAAGATATATGAAAATATATATATATTTAGAGCACTGTTTGTTTAGTGGAACAAATAGCTGCAGCCCAGAGCTTCACATAACGTTAAAACTAAATGAAAATGATGGAAGAGTTATCTTGGAAGGGAAGTTGATGGGGTTTTTTTGCATATAACGTGCATTTATCAATCTGGCTGATCAAGTTGTCCTGTTCTGGATATTGATTAGTCTGCAGTTGTTTTATTTCTTACTTCTAATTCAGCAGATCAAGTGGAAAAATCTTGTTTTTCTGCAGCATTTTGAGCTTCAGTAACCCCACAAGCTGCTTAAACACTAAGATTTAAAGGTCCTCTTTTATATTTGTTCCAAAAGATGCTAATATAATATTTATTTTTTGTGATATGCTCATTAGAAACAGTTTACTTAGTTAGTTTTTCTTTTAGCTAAAACTTATTTTAATTTGCTTTAACATTTTATGAATTGGTTTAATCAGTTTAAAATGACTTTCCTAAAAGATGAGTTGGATCATGAAGCTCCTAAATCGAGTTAAATTAATGCATTTCTTAAATGCATCTTTTTTTCCCATTATTCAGCAACTTGCTTCTTATGACCAAGGTCACAGCAACTTCAAAAGCAACAAAAATTTCAAAATATGGTCTTTCACCTCTAAATTATGCAACAGTATTGATGAATTTTCATACACTGTAGATCTGTAGCCTTGTACTTGACCTTTGGTTACTGTGTGGCAACACTGCACTCCAGCAGCAGCGGCTCGCCAGCGAGTAGTTTTCTCCTCTCTGGGTCGTAGTTTAGATGCTTTTGTTTAATGTATTACATCGATAGAGAGTAACTGGCAATAAAATCTTTGCTGCGCTGCATGTGCTGAACTCGGAGCTAATTTATGCATGTTCAGGTCTGGACTTTGGTAAAACCAAACCCAGCTCGGTTTTTCCACGGCTCACCCTGACAGCATTCTCACCTGCTGATAAAATCCAGCCTGGGACTGGATTTAAGCCGCGATCACGTGCAGATTTTCTGTTATCTCTCAGATAAAATGCCAACCGAGAACAGGGTGATCATCCGTAGAGTTTATTGGCTGCCCCCCAATGCTTCCAAGTTGTTGCACATCTTACTACTTGTTCAGTTTGTAGCAAAAAATAAAAAAAAATATGCACACAGACAAGCCTCTGGTGTAAAGCTCTTTATTCATTTGAAGCTGTCTCTTTGTCCAGACATAAATCTTTTACTTTAGTTTATTTAGTTTGATAAACCAGTGGAGTGGTCTTAATGCCTATCTGGCTTTACTCTGATACCCAAAAATTAAACAGCCAATCGCCTACAGAAGACAACCAGTTCATGCAGGTTTGTGGAACTGGTTTGAAGGCCTGTTTAATAGAAAGTATCTGGATTTGTGTTTGGACTTTGACTAGGCCATTCTGTCACGCTGAGCCCAGCTGCTGCATTATTACAGTCATCCTGCCGGTAGATGGACCTTGAACTCGGTCTAAAGCTTCTTGCAGCATCAAACTAGTTGTCTTTACTATCCCTGATAAGCAGCCCCGCAGCATGACCCTGACACCACCTTGTTTCATTGTTGGGGTTGGCTTTTTGAGTTTTTACGGCACTAGTGGCTCGTTTTTCCAACAGTAGGCTGACAGGAAAGGGGGTGGGAGAGGGAGGGACATGCGGCAAAGGACCACAGGTCGGATTCGAACCTCAAAGACTAAGGCCTCCGTACATGCGTGGTGCGTGCCAACCACTGGGTCACCTGCACTCACCTTGTCAGTCAGAGAATGTTCAGACACTGGTCTAAAACCTCACTAGAATTTATGCATGAGCCACAATTACCCATAATGCAGCAGCGCTCCTCTGTAGCCATAATGGCAACCATTCAGACAACGGAAGAACCTGACAATAAATGAGTTATCGGGTCCCACTTCTGGGGCAGATCAGGCACAGATGAGTGATAAAACAAAGGATTTATTATCTAAGAGAATAAATAAGCATTTTGCACATTATAGTTTAGGAGACTTATAACATTTAGGCAGAGAAAAAAGAAATTTGGGCATTTTTATAAAGCCGGCCACCCTGAGGTACTTCTGGTTGCACAAATAAGCTGATGGTACGGATTAGGCTCATTTAAATTACACATTACGTTTGTTATCACTGTTTAACTTTATCATGTAAACGGGAAAAGAAAAAGCCGCTCTACATAAAGAATCGTCTCAAAATATCGGCAGCGCATATCAGTTGGACTGAATATAATCGACATCAGCCGCTCTAGTCTACTTAAGTTATAACCAACATGTGAGGCCTTCACAAAACATCTGTATGAAAACTGCAATTAAATTAGAAACAGCTGGATTTTATTTACTGGTTGGTGAAATCTGAAGGCAGCCGTCGACACCGGGTTTTATTTTGGCGGTTTAATAGAAATACTTATTTCAAAGTGTTCCTTTTTAATTTAAAACTGTCCATCATGCTTCTTCCTTTTCTTTTTTGTAGCGTGAAATATTCTGAATATGTTATGATTAGCAATTTGAATAATGATAAAATGTAAACTTTGTGTTTTGACAAAGAAATCTGTATAAAATAGGACAGAAGTCGATGTTCTGTTTTCTGTTTTAATCCAGTAAAGTCCAGAACTTGGAGCCCGTCGGGCCTCATGTCTGTTCTTCATCTGCTTTTCTGCTCCGGTTCTTCTTCGCTGTTATTGTTAGATTTTATAACATTTTCCCAAAGCCTCTCGCTATCATGTGCTGAAGGCAGTAAAGGATAAAAGGAATAAACGCGTCACCGTTTACTATGTCGGGAGTGTGGGTTGCATCAGATGGCGTGTTTATACATACATTACGGTGTGTTCTTGTTGTTACATCACCGTCCTGCTGTGTAATCTGACTGGGATCAATAGGCCACATCACAGCCGTGTCGCCGCCCGTCCTTCAGCAGGTCGCTGCAAACGCTTCACTGTCACCGCTGCAGATACGAGGGGCTTTAAAGTGTGGGAAACAAATTGTAATCTTGGTATTTAGACCAGTGACTTTTTTTTTTCTTTTTTTTTACAGCAGTTGCATAAACACACACAGACGCACAGAAATGAGCATTGTTATATTGTGCCCATATGTTTCCCAGCCTTAGCTTTCTCAGCCTGATTGCCAAGGCACATCTGGTCCTAATAAGGTGTGTGTGGGTGTGTGTGTGTCACTGCGCCTCAGCTCTCCAGCCTTTCAGTCTGGCCTTCTGCAGAAGTGGTGTTGAGTCTTTTACTGCATCGCAGCACAAAGCCTATACTTTTAACCTTTGCTTAATAGTGTGTGTGGCTCTGAGTGTGCGTCCTGATGGTAGTTATCAGGCCATATCTCATATTTTGTCTGCTCGTGTTTCAAGGCCTGATAATCTTTAAAAACAGTGTTGATTTTCCAGCTTTGATGCCGATAGTGGGAATGGTTTGATATATCGGCTGTCTGTGGGAACTGGTTCAACCAAAACCATCATCAGCATCAGCTCCAGGCAGCACAGCAGCAGAGCAAAGCTTTTTTCAGATAAACCAGGCGATGCCTGACCTCTGCTTCTCCTGGCATGTCCAAGACTGAACATTCAGGGATTTGTTGAGTAGAACATCTCAGGGATGTCACTGACCCACCACCCTAATGCTCCTCCCGTTTTTGCCGCAGGGTTTGCCTTTCCAGAATGGGCTTACAAGCCGGAGTCGAGCCCAGGCTCCAGGCAGATCCAGCTGTGGCATTTCATCCTGGAGCTGCTGAGGAAACAGGAGTACAACGACGTGATCGCCTGGCAGGGAGACTACGGCGAGTTCGTCATCAAGGACCCGGACGAGGTGGCCCGCTTATGGGGGGCCAGGAAGTGCAAACCACAGATGAACTATGACAAGCTCAGCCGAGCTCTGAGGTGAAGCTCATGTCTTACATTTACTGTTGCTTCTTCTGCTTTTCATTTTTAACTCGCATTAACTCTGCTGCTTTAAGAAGTTCAGGCCTGGTTAATCTAAAGGCTTTTACTCTGTAGTCATGTTTAGGAAGTTTTCCTTTAAATTTAAGAATATAAAGCATCTGGAAATTTCTCAATAGGTTTAAATGAGACCCTCTCCTATCCAATGTTGCTGAATGTGTTTCCATCGGCGTCTTTCTCTCACGTTTTGAAGTATCACATTAGAAGAGCTTAGTGGAAACAAAAAACTATACATTTCTGAAATTTAAGTTGCATTTAGGACTTGCTATCTACTTCCTATTTATTACATCCAAGCATCACTAACGTATGACAACCTCTCGCTTTTCCTCACCTTGTTAATTTGCTCCCATGGATGGAAACGACTCTAATTAGCATTTCCTTTTTTTCTGATATTTTAAGTTTGCTTGAGATTTGCAAGAGTATTGGATGGAAACACGACTACTGAACTCTAAATATGTTATATTCGATATACTGATCTTTAGTGCAGAAATCGTATTTTGGTCTTTATCTCAAGAACCTAGAAGTGCTTCTCTGAATCTTTAGAACATAAGAGATGTTTCTATTTTTTAGAATAAGATAGATTTGCTTCCTGGATGGTTTAGGATTTGTTTTAAGAAGCCTCTTGACCTCAGAGTCCTCACCATAGCGTCCTTCTCTTATTTCTGCATAGAAGCATCCTGCATGTTGTCAGATTCATGTCAGACCTTTTATTTATTCCTTCTGAATGATCTTTGGTACTCGTTTGTGTCTATTTTTGACCAATGTACGAATCAAGCCGTTTGTTTTTCCAACTCTCCGTCCATCTATTTGGTCGTCTGTCTCCTTCATCCTGTTTATCAGTGCTTCCCTCCATCATCCATCTTCACTCCTTGAATTTTTTCTTATTTCAGTCTGTCCATTCGTCCACCCATCTCTCCGTTTTTCAACTTAAACTGTCCATCCCTTTACCAAACCACCTGTCCTTTGTCGATTTGTCCCTCTGTCTTTTTTATTCATCCATTTGTCCCTTTATCCTTGTCTCAAGTTTGTTGTAAAATCAAGCTCTGACTGGTTAAAATGAGCTATAGCTTCGTGCTAAATTTTAGTTTTTTAGTGTTAAAATTGTCCAAAAGAATGGAGAACTCTAGAAATATCAGCCCAGAAACATTCTGACCTGTAAAATGCGTCCAACACCTGAGGAAGTCTTGGACAGTTCAAACGTTTCTGCTTGAAATTGTTTGGAACCTTGATGGTTTATATGTTTAGTGCCGTCATGACCGTTTGCGGCGTGTAATTAAGACGAGTCGGCGAGTTTTTGTTTTTTCTTATAAGTAAGCCTCCACGCTGAAGCACCAGGGTGAGAGCCAATTTAGAAACACCCACCGAGGAGCACATGTGGGATGCTGTAGTTTTATTTAGCCACCGGTATGTTCTCCTCCTTATTTACACAAACACACACACATGTAGTCATCGCTGCTGCCTCCTGTGTCGTTGTTACCCAGCCTCCCTGCCACACACATGCAGTCATGCAGATATGCCCACTCACACTCACCACCTTACTCTGTGTCAGCCCTCCTCTTGCCCAGCTGTCCCGTCTGCAAACAGTTTTTATTTCAAAATAAATTAGGATACTGTGATATTTAAATGATTTCAGAGCAGTTTATTTCATTCCAAGGTGATGAATGTAAAGCAATATATGATTCATCCATGCTACGTTTAGACCGCACGCAGCAGAGGCAGCAAAAACACGCGTGCTGCTTTATTTTTATAGCTTGTACAAGTTTAGTTCTTGTACAGAGATGAAGCATGTTTGCTGCTCTGGCTGCGTGGTTGAAAATGGGGTCCGATGGTCATTGGATGGAGCTACTCTATTCTTTCTATCCCTTAAACAATGGCGGATACAATCAAGAGTTGTTTGGCTTATTTTAATGAATAATGCTACGTTCAGACCGCAGGCACTGGAAGCAGAAGAAAAGATTCTTCTTCTTCATTTTTGATGCTTGTCCACATCAAATTCAGACGTCCGGTAAAGTTTGTCCTGATGGGTCTGATGCTTCTGCTGCTCCTGTGTTCAATGGCAAAGAGCAGCTTTGCTATATTTTTGGTTATCAGCGGATTAAAAGTAGTTTTCATTTGTTTTTAATTGAGAAAGTCAACCAGAAAACTCCATCTGTGCAGTCCGTTTAGATATTCTTCTGCTGTCGGAGCCGCTCACACCCCCGTACAGCGGCGGTCTGAGCGGTACTACTGTGGTGCTCTGTCCCTGGAAATCCCATTCAACAGCAGCCTCTGGCCCGGTCGCCTCCTTTGCGGTTTTCTGCTACCGTCTACGGCGACTGGAAGGCGTTTTTCACGTACATAATCCAACCCAATAATAAAGCAAACATATTTTGCTGGCTGGTTTTGATATTTTAAGTTAATTTAGGTGTTAATAAACTTTTTCAGAGGAGTGATAATAGCGCTCTGCATCAGCAGTGCTGTGTTTGTCTCCCTGCCAGCTCCTAGATCAGCTTCTCTCCGATTGGTTGATGTGATGCATTGAGCAGCAAAAGTTACATTTTTCCAACACCAGCAGCTGCTGTTTCTGAAGTGCGTCAGATGCTCTGAAGCCTGTGAGGCGCTGCTTCTGCAGCTCAAAACGCCCTGCAGGATCTTTTGCTGCGTGTCAGCCATTGACTTTGCATATAAACTAGCTGCTTCTGCAGCTCAAAACGCGCTGCAGGATCTTTTGCTGTGTCTCAACCTTTGACTTTGCATATAAACTAGCTGCTTCTGCAGCTCAAAACGCGCTGCAGGACCTTTTGCTGCGTGTCAACCTTTGACTTTGCATATAAACTAGCAGCTTCTGCAGCTCAAAACGCCCTGCAGGATCTTTTGCTGCGTGTCAGCCATTGACTTTGCATATAAACTAGCTGCTTCTGCAGCTCAAAACGCGCTGCAGGATCTTTTGCTGTGTCTCAACCTTTGACTTTGCATATAAACTAGCTGCTTCTGCAGCTCAAAACGCGCTGCAGGACCTTTTGCTGCGTGTCAACCTTTGACTTTGCATATAAACTAGCAGCTTCTGCAGCTCAAAACGCGCTGCAGGACCTTTTGCTGCGTGTCAACCTTTGACTTTGCATATAAACTAGCTGCTTCTGCAGCTCAAAACGCGCTGCAGGACCTTTTGCTGCGTGTCAACCTTTGACTTTGCATATAAACTAGCAGCTTCTGCAGCTCAAAATGCGCTGCAGGACCTTTTGCTGCGTGTCAGCCATTGACTTTACACATAAACTAGCTTCTTCTGCAGCTCAAAACGCGCTGCAGGACCTTTTGCTGCGTGTCAACCTTTGACTTTGCACATAAACTAGCTGCTTCTGCAGCTCTAAACGCGCTGCAGGACCTTTTGCTGCGTGTCAGCCATTGACTTTGCACATAAACTAGCTGCTTCTGCAGCGAGCGGTCTGAACGTAGCATCAGACTTTATTCCATGTAGACTTCACTGATCTAGAATCATGCATTACATACATAAAGATCCCATTAGTTCAGGTAATTTAGATAGCGAGAGGGACGTGTTTGCTTAAATTATAGAAGCCAAATCTGCACACCAATTAAAAGCATCACATATTCCGACCTTGAGTTTTTAAGAAGTGAACTTGTATCGTACATGTAAATAAAGATTAAACAAAGACATTTACCCTCCAACACTAAGTTTAAGGTCCTAGCTGCAGATTCTGAGCTCTCATATAAATTTTTTAAATTCAAAAGTTCAAAATCATGAAGAAATTATTAGCTGTTCCCCATTTAAACTTCAAAGAACATGGATTAGATTTTTTGTTTTGCAGAGTCTAAACATTCAGTGTTTGACCTGCTGGTTGTTGCCCTGAGCCAATGAAGGGGGAAAAAAGACCACTTTGGACCAAAAGATGATTAATTGGTGCATTGGAGCTCTGATTTTAAGCTATTAAGTTGGTATTTTAATGTCAATGTTTGCATTTCGAAATTCAAGCTATTATAAACTCATCAGGAACAGAAAGTTGGACGTTGGAACTTTCTTTTTCTTCCTATTCACAAGCAGTTTTATCAGCACATAAACGTTCCCTATTTAAGACTAATTCTTGCTTCGTCTCTGATCTGTTTCACATTGACGAAAAGCTGGAACCAAAATGTCTTTGTTGTGGTTTCTGAAGCTTTTATATGAACCACAGGCCGTTAATTGATTCTGACGGCGTTTGAAGAAAGTTCCTTTAATCTTTGATGCTTCTCTGCATCTTTTGAAGTTAGTTAGCGGTGTTACACATGTGTGCTTTCATTCATGCATGTGCCATGGTCATGTCTCTGGATTTGAGCATGTGTTTACTGGATGCAGATTGAGTCTTCACTTTCCTTCATGTGTTAGAAGCAGGCATCCAGGGTCTCCTGTGTCCGAGTCTGGTCGTCCAGCAGCGCAGTGGGAATTGCTGCATCCTGGTGTTTACTGCGTTCACTGCTCTGATACGGTTCACACCTTTGTTCTAACCCCCATGTTTACCCTCTGACTGTGTGGAAAGGACTCTACGTGTCCTCCAAGTGTTTTGTTCAGATGCACTTATTAGTTTTCAGAGTCGTGAAGTGATTCACACCTTCTGAACATGAGCTGTGTGCAGCTGCCCTCTCTGCTTGGCTAGGAAACAATGCCATCCATAAGGATAATCATCTTTTCAGTGATAATTTAGGCAGATTTATCAACAGAAGCTAACTGGTATCAATTAAAAATAAAGCAAACAGGATTATGTTAAAGTTTAAGCATAGGGTGTCTTTATGAACACCACCTGCTGTCATCTCTTAATGTTAAAAGCTACAGGTTGTTGAAATACTTGCAATACTTGTAATAAACCATTGCTGCTGAAGAGACACATTCGCTTTAGTCTCCTTAAGCTTCAGTAACAAGTTTTACCAATCAAAGCTCAAGTTAAGCTTTGTGCTGTTTACTGCATGCAAATATTCTAAGATTTTTTTTTAAAAAGGCTGCAGCTTTTTATTAGAGATCAACTGGTTCTTTTTTCCTTCTTCCATCTTTTGTGAAAGCCAATGCTGATACAGAAAACTTTGACACTAACCTAACTAGGGGTGTAAATCACATCAATCATGGCGATTCGATTCAGTATCGATTTTCCTGACCCAACGATTCGATTATTTTCGATACTCGAGAATACATCACGATTCGATTGTTTTTTGTTTGTTTTTTTCACCTTTTTTTTTTCAATTTTTTTTTTTTTTTTTTTTTTTTTTGAAAAAACAGCAAATAACAGAAGTAGAAAAGTTGCACAGGTAGAAGCCTCCAGCAGAACCAGGCCCTTTGTGAGCGGCCAGCTTTATTGTTTCGCTCTATTATCTGTCTGAATCCCGCTCACCAGAGCTGCTCCATGTTTATCACATGTATACAGAGTTGTTTCAGTTTGTTAGATCAGAAGCGACTGGCGCGGTGTGATGACGTCAGTACGTTGCATTCAATGGTGTCACGTGATTTACCTGGTCGGCCCAGCTCTAGTTCCCACAGCATGCGGATCAAAGCCGAGGTTCATTTTAAAGCTGGTCGCTTGCAGAGTCCTGTGACCCCGGTAGTAGAGACTGACACAGGAGTGGATTTTCACTCCTGACCCATCCCACTCCACCTATTCCTATTAAAACCTCATTCACTGAACAATAATAATACCCCTGCGTTATAGATTCTGAAAGGCCTGCATCAAAAAATACTGCACAAAATCAGTGCAATGAGTGCAATGCAATACCTCGGCTCCAGACGTCCCGCCCCCTCCACAGAGGCTCCGCTGCACCTCTCCCAAATTGTAGCTGACCTCAAACAGTGCGGAAGACAGGAGGCCGGCTTGTTTTTTTTTATGACCGAAATTGAGGAAAACAACTCGTGAAGTTTGACCTGCTAGAAGAGCGAGGTGCGTGAGAACGCTGGGACCCTTTTTCCACCTGGATCTCCGCTCTTTTTGGCCCTCATGTCCCTCCGTCGTCGGACTAAACTCGCCCCCACTTCCTCACCGCCTCGGCCGTATCTAGACCCACAGCATATAGCACAGACCCAGCAGCTCACTGCAACACACTGCAGTAAGAGTATAACCAGGAAGGTATGTAGGAGGGCAAAATAGGTTTAGCGCCACCGCAGCACAGGAGGAAGAATTACGCCCAGGAGCAAATGGATAAAAATAGACCTGAGGAAAAAAAAAAAACATGAATCGATACTCTTGCGGACGTATCGATGCATCGATACAAAACGATTATTTACACCCCTAGTCTTCACATACCCAGATTTACAGAGAATTAAGCTAATATTTCTGACTACGCTGATGTTGTCAGCTTTAAAACATCAGAGCAGCTTTATGGAAATATTAAACTGTGATCTCGTGTTCTGGTCCAAAGTTCTGCACCTAGAATCACTGGAAGTAAAGCTGCTGTTCATCAGGCAGTTTGTTCGTCCGAAACCACCTCAGCTCCTCCAGCCCTTGATTACTCCACTGATCCCCCCCCTGCTTATTTTTCCTGCCGGTTCTGGCCGTTGGCGGCTTTGTGCCGGCTGTAGTACATGTGAGAGTGTGGGAGTTCATCACAGCCGTTCCTTTCAGAAGAGGCCCTTCGCTCATTGAGTCATTGAGACGCTCGATGAGCTCCTTCTTCTCTCCACTTTCTCCCTCCTTTGTGCAAAACTCCCATGACTAATATTGTGTTCACGCTGGATTCAGTTTGAGCAGGATGACTCATATCCCCATTATTTGGTGATTTCTGTAACCGTCGCCCCTAATGTGTGGATTTTTGGAAAGTTTACAGCCCTGTGAAAATTCACCATCACCTCAAATTGTGAAATTTCTGCATCTTTACCTTCAGTTCAATCACTTCAAGCCAGATTTCTTCTATATCTGTCTTTAAATAACATTAATCTTAATGGAAGTGTAGGAAAGCATGGATTGATGCACAGAGTGGCTTCATGATCCCTCATTCAGTCTAAGTCAGACATCCAGCCATAAATCCATGTTTTTCTGTGCAGATTTCCCCACTGAGCTCCTCTGTGCTTCATATAACTGGAAATGACGCGTATTCCATTTCCCACAATGAAGTGGATAGTCCCCGCTGAATGAGGCACTCCGATTTACTTGTTTTTGTGTAAAGAAATATGAATGTGGCTGTTGGTGAGTCACACTGGGCCATTTTCTTGTCTTTTGGAGGAGCTGTCAGCAGCTGCCTATTCAGGCTTTACATCACTCTGTGTACTGATGATGACTAATGCACTCCTACTAATGGTGCTGCCTGGATAAGACTAAATCTGAATGGATGGCTCTCCTCCTTCAGTGAGGCTTTGAATTGAAACGTTCACTTAGAAAACAGCCTGTTTACTGAGGTTTGCTTCACTGAGGTAAATTACTTTCCTTCTAGAACGTCCCTTATTCAGCGTATAGTTTCATTAACATTCATAATCAATTCATAATCTTGTTCAGTGCTTCTGTTCTTTAGTTTGATTTTGGACCAGTTTGCTACTGGTCAGAGCTGCAACACTAGATCATTTGATAGAGACATCAAACTGGACAAAAGCTTGATTTAATATATTATTGTTGCAGTGATATTTCAGTTGCAGCATTTATTATCTGTACATCTATTACTGTGATCATTAGTTGGGTTATTGGCGTCTGGTGTGAATATATAAGAACTGAAACTCCCAACAAATGGATAAATATTACATTTAATTCAACACAATTAAATCCAGTTCACAACACTTCATCTCACTTCGCAGAAACATTTAAATCAAATCATCCGCTCAGATTAAACCTTTTCTAAAGAAGAGCAGGCTTTACTCCTCCTGGACTGCAGCAACCCTTCAAACCAAGGATGCATGCAGTGACAGTGGAGAGAAAAAAACACCCTTTTTAACAGGTAGAAGCCTCCAGCAGAACCAGGCCCTTTGTGAGCGGCCAGCTTTATTGTTTCGCTCTATTATCTGTCTGAATCCCGCTCACCAGAGCTGCTCCATGTTTATCGCATGTATACAGAGTTGTTTCAGTTTGTTAGATCAGAAGCGACTGGCGCGGTGTGATGACGTCAGTACGTTGCATTCAATGGTGTCACGTGATTTAGCTGGTCGGCCCAGCTCTAGTTCCCACAGCATGCGGATCAAAGCCGAGGTTCATTTTAACGCTGGTCGCTTGTAGAGTCCTGTGACCCAGGTAGACTACGTCAGTGATCTGTTCCCACTGCCACTAAAATCTGATTGTTCCCGGATTTAAACAGGTTTTTCTGCCAGTGGGAAAGTGGTAATAGCTGGGTCAGTACCCTGACTTTTACTGAGCTTAACAGCCACAGAAACTGTTTTTAAACACAACTTAAATCAGTATGGACATCTATGCTAAACTTTGGATTGTTTGTTGCAGCCCCAATAGTTAGGAACATCATCCAGGTCATAGTCATCCTAAAGAAGGAAAAAAAAAAAGTATAACTTCAACATAAAACTTAATTATCATAATTTTCAGCCAATCAGTAATCAATAGAATACATGAAATATGCACGTTCCTTCGCTCATGAGTTTTTTTTTATTGAAAAGTTGGTTTATTTTTTCGATAGGGTTTTCAACTAAACGTAATTATTTACAGACCCTGTGACTAAAAAATTTTAATCCCGTCTGACATCTAGTTTTGAATGAAACAGAAAAACCATCGAGGAATTACATTATTTCTGTTCATGCATTTAAAACATCCTGATGTGCTTAAATCTGGTTTCATGAACTTCTAGAAAGGTGCATGCTTCTGTAACCTCTTACCAATGAGGGGATTCTCTGTAGAACAGGAATCATTGGGAATTCATAATGTTTTAAATTCATTTTTCTATGGGGGGGTGAATATCTTTGGTGTAGATAGCTGTACTATGTAGCTCAACAATTCAATTCAGTTTATTTCTATAGCTCCAATTCACATCATGTCATCTCAGGTCACTTTCCAGTTCACCAGATCATCCAGTCAGATTGATTCAAAGTTTTCTATCTAAGGAAAACCAGCTGATTGCATCGACTCATTGACTCGAAGCTAATCTCTCACACTAAGCATGCTTGTAGCGACAGTGGAGAGGAAAAAATAATTTTTAACAAGAAGAAACCTCCAGTAGAACCAGGATCAGTGTGAGCGGCCATCTGCTGAGGCCCACTGGGGTTCAAGGAGACAGAAGCAGAGATGCAAAAAGCAGCTGTAAAAGGCGGCCCCGTCCAGAAAACACACAGCCAGGCAGACGAGCTCCGAGCCAGCTCCCATGTCAGAGGATGAAGAGAGCACATCCAGTTAGTCACAGTCAGAGAAACAGGACTACACTGGAAAACAGGCCAAGCTCCAACATCTAGAAACAAAGGTGATGATGGCAGCATCACAGCTGATATTATAACAACAATAAAACTAACAATCCTGTTCTGGATGAGAAAGATCAGACTTTGGTTTCTTTACCGAGATGGTTCTGGAAAAATACGGGCCGGTTACAGAGATGATGCCTTTAAAAGAAAACATTTAGAAGATCAGTCCACTCATGGTTAACTTAACTAATATCAGTCTTTTAAAACTCTAAAATCAGTTTGTTTTTCACCAGATATCTCAAAAAATGTAAAGTAGAATTTTTGTTAGTTAAGCTGACAGTCTTCCAGGAAGCTTTCAGTATCTTTCTGTTTTACACTGATCGGACAAACACCATGTGTCGTCATACATCACAGTTAGATTAAACGTTAGGCTTTCCTATTTGTTCCTTTTTATTAACTTCGGCGACATGGTGAACAGTTCTCAGACGGTGACGTGTTCTGTCCTCTTTTCCTCAGATATTACTACAACAAGAGGATCCTCCACAAGACCAAAGGGAAGAGATTCACCTACAAGTTCAACTTCAACAAACTGGTGCTCGTCAATTACCCCTTCATCGACATGGGCTCCGGTAGGTACAGCATCACACCAGCATGAGAAGTCCTGGCCGGGTCTGTGTTAAAATACTCTGAGGTGATTTACACACCGAAGAGCAGAAGTTTCACTCCTCAGTCTGTAGAAGGTTTAGCTTTAGGTGCAGAAACGTCCGTTAAAATTACCTCCAGCTGTTAGACCTTCTAGCTTCTAATGCTGCTTTGAGTTTTCGGACTCGTTAAATGTTTCTGTCCGATCGCGTTGAACTTCCTGCACCTTTATACTTCTTCTATAGATAAATTATTCCTTTACATGGTTTTAAAAAAACATTAAAATAGTTTAATCTCGCCCATTTCTTAAAAAACATTTTATAAGACTTTGTGGATCTTATGTTTAAAGTATAATTTAAACTAATAACATCTCTTTCTGTTAAAAATGGAAATCAAGCAATAAAGGTTTTAAAGGGATACTGATGATTAACCGACTACGGAAGAGGTTTAGGGCCACTGGAAAAAAAAAAATAGTTAACTGATTTTTAAATTTAATTTTAGTTTAATATGGGAAAAAAGTCAGAATTCTGACTTTTTTCTCAGAATTCTGACTTTTTTCTCAGAATTCTGACTGTAATCTCAGAATTCAGACTTTTTATCTCAGAATTCTGATTTTATTCTCAGAATTCTGACTTTTTTCTCAGAATTCTGACTTTAATCTCAGAATTCTGACTTTTTATCTCAGAATTCTGACTTTTTATCTCAGAATTCTGACTTTAATCTCAGAATTCTGACTTTAATCTCAGAATTCTGACTTTAATCTCAGAATTCTGACTTTAATCTCAGAATTCAGACTTTTTATCTCAGAATTCTGACTTTTTATCTCAGAATTCTGACTTTAATCTCAGAATTCTGACTTTAATCTCAGAATTCTGACTTTAATCTCAGAATTCTGACTTTAATCTCAGAATTCTGACTTTAATCTCAGAATTCAGACTTTTTATCTCAGAATTCTGACTTTTTATCTCAGAATTCTGACTTTAATCTCAGAATTCTGACTTTAATCTCAGAATTCTGACTTTAATCTCAGAATTCTGACTTTTTTCTCAGAATTCTGACAGCTAACAAACATGTTATCATCTTTGTCAGTGAAGCTGAGTTCTCCCACATCTCTTCCTTCATGGTACCCATCTACATTAAAATCCAAAATTCTGAGATTAAAGTCTGAATTCTGAATTTTTTTCCCATACTAAACTGAAATAAAATTAAAAAAATCAGTTAACTTTTTTTTTTTTTTTTTTTTCAGCGGCCCTAATCCTCTTCCGTAACCGACCCCTCACATTTGTGCTGTTCATTTTTTCTTTATTTTTAAAACCAATACTGTCTTTTCTTCCTCTATTTACAAGATACAAATGACACAATGATAGCAACTGTTACAAAAGTCTCAATATTAATCAAAATAAAGATTTATTAATAAATCACAGCAAAATATAACAATGGAGAGTAAATGAGGAGCAGCCAGCGTGTGCTGCACCTGATCTTAAGGCGCAGCTGCTGGAGGTACTAATTAACTGGCAAATGGTTGCAGGAATCAGCTGATGTTGATACGAGAATAAAATAAATATCAGCCCAAAATATCGGTCAGCGAATATTTATCTCTGGTATCAACATTTTTTTTTTGTTTATTGTTCTAATATCTGTGACTCTTCTTGGACCAATAAATTTAAACATTTGGCTCACATGTCCACTCTATAGCTGTATACCTATGAACTGACTCGTAATGGGTAAAGGTTTCCCAAAAACAATTAAATTAAATCAGGTTTTTTGCTTTTTTTTAGAGAAGTTCTTGTTATTTTTAGGTGCTTCAGAGCTCCTGACATCAAATGAAAGCCGTTAAAAGGCAAAAAGCTAGAAGAAGTAATAAAAACAATGAAATCCTGCAGTAAAGCAGGTAAATGCTGAGGATTAGTTAAAAGGAAAATCAAAATGAAATTAGAATAATTTTTGTTTTTAAGTCTCGTTTATGATTTTTGTCTGAATTGTTCAACCCTATCAGAGATCTATACAGAATAAACCCTGAAAGTAAAGATAACTGATGTTCACTGTACTTATCAGTTTCTACATTAGAGATATTAGCCTTGATAAAGAGCTGATTTCCATCTTTGATAAATAAATATTAAAAATATTAAATATCAAAATGTCTTAAATCAGTTATTCGTAGGTCTTAATTTTTAAAACATCATATATAGGATTATTTTTATTACGGTTTATTTTTGTAATCTAAATAAAACATTGAAATTAACAATTTTTTTTTTTTTATAAAAAAAAAAATAACGGCTCGCCATTATTGGTTCCGTCCCGATAGCGGAACCAATAAAAGCGTTGTTGCGGCTGGGACATTTGGGAGATGCGCCATTAACTTTTTGTCTGGAAAATATGAGCAAGTGTAAATGTAACATAAATTGTCTCCAGCCAAGAGTTTTCTCCATGGCTAAAACCAGGGAACATACATGAGGCTCAGTGGATTTTGTGCAAGAAGTCATTCAAGCTCAGAACGATGGGAATTAAGGCAGTGGAGTCGCACATGCGAAGCACGAAACACAAAGCGTCAAAATCGAGTTACAGAGTTCTCGGTTTAGTTCCACCCTTGTCTCTGCAACGCCTCCACTTATCACCAAATCAAACATACTAAGAAAACCGTACTAAGAAAAATAGCTGCAAAAAAGACTTAGCACTGGTTATGTTGGGGCTTTAAAACTGATTTGTTTTGTTCCCTGCTAAAACAAAGTTTGTGAATTCAGTTAAATAATATATCTGTCATTTGTGTGTTTTTAGCTTTCTTCCTGTATGAGAAGCTTTTCAACATTTGAAACATTAGTGCAGTGGTTTATGTTAAAATAAACCTTTGGGTTAAGTTGTCGCAAGCGGGTTTTTCTTGTGTTTCTTGTGAATTTGGACTTAAATTTTTTTTTCAAGTGGCATTAAAAAGTCTTAAAAGGTCTTGAATTTAACTTGCCTTATGCTGTACGAACCCTGGAGGGGCTGAATGTTCCACAGCTTAGGCGCGGTAACCACTTACGGTTTATACCGGAACCTAAGGACATCCAGAACAGTTTAAAAAAGGCAGACCGGAGATCTCTGCTGGGGCGATTTACCGTCAACATCTCAGTTTAATATAGCGAGCGAGACCATGAAGGCCTTCAAAAACAAGTGTGTCCGAAAACGCAGCAGGAACCGGTGCAGGGAGGAGACGATGGGAGTGATGTGGCTTTGCCTGGATGAGCCAGAGAGGAGATCTTGTTTGGTACGAGGGTGGATGTGTGATGCTGTGGGCCTGTTTTTTTACAAAAGCACCTCAACATTTTAGATACTAAATGTGGGTACAACGGTTTTTTAGAAAATTTTTGGGTCTTTTAATGATTCAGAACATCTGACCAAACAGAAGACGCAATATCTGTTTCAAAACGAGATCTTGAACATTTTTAGCAGCAGTTTCAGCTTCACCTTTCCCACCATCAAGTGGGGGTTAGAGCGGGGTCTGAATTCTGCTGCAACAGGAAGGAGAAAACCAGCCGATACGCATCAGAATAAAACGTGTTTTTAACCTTTTAGAGGGAACAGACTGACTTTATTTCCTGTTTCCCAATGCCTTCTGGGTAGTTGTTGAGCAACCTTTTTCTCAGCAGGCTTCCTTACAATCTTTAGCCAAAAGAAAAAAAAATCCCCCTTAAACATGTTGTTTCATTAGTGGAACAAATCTGAAGCAGGTTGGCTGCTGTGGAGGCGTGAAGCGGCCTGATGCGTTTATCTGCCTGGTAACGGCGTGTGCCACGTCTGCGTTTATCCCTCTCCTCCTCGGTCCGCAGCCGTTCTGGGCCCGGCCACCCAGTGTAAACACAGCCCATATGGAGCGTTGGAGACCGGGTGACATAAGTGCAGCACGAAACTTTAATTATAGCCTCCGTGTGATGTGGCCCACACACTAACATGTTGTGATATGATGGTTTCATATGATGGCTGCACACACACACATGCAGTTTCCCTCCACTCATCATTCCTGACACACATGGCACAGATGGGGTTTCTTTTTCCTTTTTTTTTAAATGGCAGGCGCTGGAAAAAAACAGAGGAACCCAGCCCATGTTTGTAATGGCAGCCGGATCGACTTTTCCAATATTTAATCCCGGCGTGTGCTTCCATGCCAAGAATTTACTGCAGCGCCACAGGCAGAGCGGGGAGACTGAAGGAACTCCTCAGACTCTACCTTCACGTTTCTCTCACTGCTTATAGCTTTAGAGTCCAGAGAAATAGGAGAGTTTAAATCTGTGACCCGGAACGTTTCCCAGAACCATTTAACCTGTCGGATGCGTTTCCTCAGGTCCAAAACTGGGTCAAGTTCTTTAGTCTCTCCTTTATCTGGAAGAACTCATTGTCTTTCCTTTTTATATTTAATGTCAGTAATTTATTCATACCGTAAAAATTAAAAAAATCTAAAAATATCCGCTGGACTTGGTTTCCAAGATTTGAAGTGGATATTTTTTTATTTTTTTGAATTTTTACGGAATGACTATGACCTGGATGACTGAGAACCTACATCAGCATAATTTATTCATATAAAATATAAAAAGGAAAGAAAACGCCAAACAAGTTACAGTGCATGATTACGGTTGAAACTAACGATTATTTATCAGTTAAACTGTGATTATTTTTTTTATTAATAATCTGATATATTTATCAGTTAAATTGTAGATTATTTTTTCATTAATTATCTGAAAGCAAAAGGTTCCTTAAAGAGTATTTTTTTTTACAGATTTAAACAAAGTGAAACTAAAACTTTTCCACTTGAGGAGTTCTGCATTGAGCATATTAATAGAAGAAAATGTTTTTTTTTTTATCTTAAATGTGAAATATTTGTATATTTTTTTACGATTTTCATGTATTTACTGCTCTAATTGGGTTACTCTGTCAGCTAAAGGCAGGTTTTAGAGTCAATCGATTACTAAATTAGTTGACGATTATTTAAATACGGTAGATTAATCCAATTAATGCAGGATGCACACATATTACACATAGCTTCAGACTGCAACTCCTTTCTGCTGGGGTCTGTAGAGATATTTACACCAACAGCAGTTCAACGTTAGTATTTACACTACAGTGAGCCTAAATTAGGTTTAGATCCTCATTGCAGGCGCCTACGGGCGTCCATTCTTTGCCAAACAAAGAAAACATCATCATGTCTCAAATTAAACGGCAGTTCTTAGTAGTTGGAACAAGTTAACTCTAATCAGCTGGTTAAGACACGTTTAGGGCGTCAAAAACGTATGTGTATTAACCCTTTATCGGGCACTCATTGAAATACTTTGAAAATCAAAATTTCAAGCCAATAGTGTTATTAGAATCCAGGACAATTCCTTATAAGATGAATATTTTGATGGTAAAAATTAATTTCAATATAGTAACAAAAAATACCAACTTGCCTGAATATATTAAGAAAAATAACAAAAGTGCTTCTCTTAAAAATTTATGAAAAACACACAAAGTGAAAGAAACACATTTTTTTCTGTACAACATAAACTTAGAAGAATTAATGCTGATAGTGGCACTTAGATTTTTTTAGTTTAGAAACCTAAATATAAATGTTAACTCGGCTTATTAATTTTTTTACATTTTAATTAGCTTTTTACCTTTTTTCCTGACCTCTTAACTTTTTTTTTTCCAACTTAATTTACAGTCGCTAAAATATCATTCAAGGGTTCATCTAATTGGTCAAATGCCAATAAGATGTACAGCCATGTAGCAGCATCTTTGCTGAATGGCTGGATATAGATCTTATGCTTCTAGATCTCACTGAGGGACGGGGGGGACTCCATTTGTAAGGGGTAGGCAAGTGATCAAAAACTGTATCTTGCCTTATAACGGGTTATATCTTCCCCATGTTAGACTGTCCCAATTCAGAGCTGATAACTAGAGGAAGAAGCAGCGAGGTCGGTGCAGCCAGAAGCAGACCTATGAGCTTTGAGCGGGTTCTGCACTTTGTAGCGTCTGCTTAAAAAGCAGCATATAAGCTGCGTCGCTTGCATCAGCTTTTATGTTCCAGACAAATCCAAAGTTTAAATTAAGTTTAAGTTAATAATTTAAATTAATCTAGTTTGTACATGTTTTTTTTTCCCTGAATCAAAATAAAATTTACTGAAAATATGTTCAAGCAGGTTGTCATTATCTAAATCGGAGGTCTTCAACAGGGTGTCAAAGTTTTGGGTCATTAGACTATTTTTTCTTTTATATTTCCCCCTACAATTTTTTCCACTAATTGAAATGTCTTTAAATCCACATTAACATGAATTGAACAGACTGTAGTAAACAGATAAATGGAGGCAGAAGATGTCTTTCAGTCATCAATGCTCACATTCAGAGACACACAGGAGCTCTTTCAATCTGGGCACCGTTTCATTCACAACACCTGTCCCATCAACCAGGAATCAGAAATAGTTTAATAATCCCAGGTAGAAATTACTTTAGTTACATTACTCCATCTGTAATAGAGTGACTATAGGACCAGTTTAACACAATTTCATACAATATATATAATTAGGGGGTCCCTGCTCCATCTCGCCATCAGTTTGGGGTCCTTGGCCTGGAAAACGTTGGAGACCCCCGATCTAGATGATTCATTTCTGATTTTTTTTCTACCATCGCAGCTCCTTGGATCTACAACGACATTCAATAGTTCTATTCAGTAGCTTCTTCCATGTTGATCAAAGATCATTTGCATCACTGAGGCTTAGACTCACAGGTGTTTCAAAAGCTTCAATATTCCTTAACTGGTGTCCCGTAATTAAAGGTCCCCTAGAAACATGTCTTTGCTTTTCTCACATAAATTATACATTCTGTAAAACATTTTTCAACGGCTCTAAAAGTCTGGATAATTCAATAATATCACTTAATCTGCATGATTTTTAGGACAAATGAAAATTAATGGTTGAAGAATGTTTAAGGTTGAAGACTTTGTTCCTTTTTTACCTGGCAGGTCAAATTCTGAATATCTGCTAAGCTAAAAAGCTTATTTTCAATTAAATCTCATATCTACTACATCAAAACTTCCATGTATGTTCAGATCATAAACCAGTTTTGTAGTTTTTTAAATCATTAAAAGGTTGTTTGACTTCAAGATTTTGCTGCTCATTCAAATGTTACCTGTTAATATTTTAACTTCTATCCTTTATTTAAAATAGGAAAGACAATAATGTCAGCAGGTGTGTTAGAGAGTTTTTTAATATATAAGATTATCCTTAAATACATTTCAAAGCATTCATCCCTAAATGTTTAATTAAGAAAATGTTTTAAATTAAGATTGTTAATGGATTTGGAGCCTAAAAGTGGGGGTGGTGGTTATTAGCTTGGCTCCATTTAGGGAAGAGATGCTTTCTGTTTATTTCACCTGCTGATTATTGATCAGAGCCGATCGAGGCGCCGATTCTGATCTCTGATCAGTCGGTTTTCATCGTTTCTTTAGACTGAAGACCTAAAGTCTGGCTTCAGGGATTTAACTGAATTATCTAGGATTACAACAGATTAACCGAATGTTTTTAATCAAAGAAAATCTAATCCTGAGTTTGCAGTGGTTTTAAATTTCAAAATAAAGCTGAGCTAAGTCTGTATAACATGACTTTTCCTTTAATTATTTTGTTTAATAATGTTTATTTATGGTGTGAATACTAGTTTTGGCTTCAGCAGAGCTTCTCTCTCAGTGAGAATAAACTCTGATGTTCTTCCTCACAGGCCGGGGAGTCCCCCAGAGCGCCCCTCCTGTCCCGACCGGAGGGACCCACTTCCGTTTCCCGCCCTCCACGCCATCAGAGGTCCTCTCCTCCAGTGAGGAGCTGCGCAGCCCGGGCGTGTTCAGCACCGTGGCCCGCCGCATGGCCCGCGGCTCCGTCAGCGACTGCAGCGACGGCACCTCCACCAACTCTGAGCTGGAGGAGGCGGCGGCGGCGGACGAGCGAGCCGTCGGGGCCGACAGAGCTTTTAGGGGGCTCCTTGCCCCCCGTCTGCCTCATGAGTCTCTGTTCAGGTTCTACGGGGGCCACACCAACCCGGCCGGGTTAGCCAGGCCCGCTCCCAGGGTCCACCCAGACCCTCTGTCCCCGTTCCCCGTCTCCCCTCTGCCCGGCCCTGGAGGCCTGCTGGGCCCAACTCTGTCCCCGGCTCTCTCCATGACCCCCACCCCCCACCTGGCCTACACCCCGTCCCCCTCCCTTTCCTCCCCCATGATGGGCTCCCACTTCTCCTTCAACCCTGAGGATATGAAGCACTATCTGCAGGCCCACACCCAGTCCGTTTACAACTACCACCTCAGCCCCCGAGCCTTCCTCCATTACCCCAACATCGTCGTCCCCCAGCCCCACCGCCCTACGCCCGAGAAGCCCGCCACCCACCACCTGCAGGGCCCCCCCATGCCGCACCCGCTCAGCCAACAGCCGGGAGGCGGAGAGGACGGACACCCCTCGCCGTTCAAGTTCAAGCTGCAGCCGCCGCCGCTCGGGCGCAAGCAGAGGGAGGCAGGGAGCTCCCTGGCGTCCTCCTCTTCCTCCAATCACTCCTCCTTGTTCACCGGTTCCGGTTCAACAACAGGTTCTGCTGCAGGAGGAGCCCCGCCGAAGATCAAGGTGAGTCTGGTCACGCCGTGACAGTTTGAAGGTCCGCCTGAGTCAGACGCCGTTAACCTGCTGTTCCTCTGCAGGTGGAGCCGGTCTCTGACCTGTCCGAGGAAGATGTGGAGGTCACGGACATCAGCGAGGAAGACGAGCCTAATCAGAACAGCGAGGATGAGGAGGGTGACCTGTTCCTCCCTCTATCCCGCAGCCGCCATCATCATCTGAACAACAGAAGCAGCGGCAGCCCCTCTGCTCCGCCCCCAACGCATATGAACCCGGAAGACGACCCCGACGACGACGAGGAGGTCTTCAAAACTCCCGCCACCCCTCCCCCCGGCAGCGGCGGCGGACTTCCCTTCCCCCTGATCGGCCTGAAGACCGAGCCGGGCCAGGCGGCCCCCGTCAGCCCCGGAGGCACACGCTGCATCCCGCTCAAACTGCGCTTCAAACGGCGCTGGAGCGAAGACCAGAGGATGGAGGCGGACGGAGAGAGAGAAGAAGCGGAGGACAAGAAAGTGAGAGGCGAGGGAGAGGAAGGGAAGAGGGAGGGAGAGGAGGATAACGGAGGAGGAAGAGGAGTGATCCTGGGTCTGATGCTGCCTCCGGCTCCCACCCAGCGCAGAGCGAGCTCGGAGCTGCAGAGGGCTACGGCGCAGCTGTCGCTGGAAAACGCCGGCTGCTGAGCTCCGGCCTCCTCACATGTTCAGACCGAGCAGGAAGTCTAGCATTAGTAAACGTAGCAGGTTTAAATTTAACGTAAAAAAAAGGGTAAACTGAACCATGAATTAACTTGTATCTGAACTCGTCCGTCATTCGCTGGAAGATCAGTCTGTGCAATAACCCTGAACTCCCTAAATTAGCTGAATGAACAAAACGTTTTCCTCTGTTTGACGCCATGACGCATTAAGAGCAAAACGAGGAACAAAATGAGCTGTCGGAGCAGAATCGTGTTAACTTTCTAAACTAAATGGTTCTGGTGTCTCATCAGGCCTTTAACACTAAGAGATGTACAAACACAAAGCGGACCCTGATGGCAGCGGCACGGAGCTGCTCAAACCTTTCAGACATTCACGCCCAAATTCAGTCTTTATGGTTCAGTTTGATCAGTTTCATCGGACTTTCTGGGTCGTCTCCAGTTTATGTGACGGTTTCTGTTCTTTTCATCTTAAGCCGACGTGAAACCCAGACAGATCCAGACACGGAGGAATCAGCAGCCTGAACAGAGATTATAGAAGTGCCTCTCTGTCTGCAGCCCAGAAGACGACACCCCGTCACTACAGCGCATAAATACTGAAAACGAGGACGAAGCGGAGCGAGAGGAAGGGAGGAAGATGGAAGCTTCCCTCTGTAACACCGATGTCCGACCGAACGGCGGCTTCGTCTTCCTCGCCAGTTTCTCCTCACTCGTAGAAACGACAGAGCAGCTTCTAGCAGGACTGTAATTAGCGGCCCGCTCGTTTCTGAGGAGGCGTGCGGAGCCGACGGCTGTCTGCGACTTTTCCTCCGAGGGCATTTTCAGCGTTGTTGCCTTCAAGCTTTCCTGTCATCAGCTTCTTATTTTGTTTTTATATATGAAAAGACTTTCTTTTTTTCTCTTTTTCTTCCATCAAGGGAGACGTTTTCCTCCGGATGGAATGGACAGTATTTTAAGGGCATTTGCAGATACCATGAAAACAAACTGATTAGTGTCTTTGTGGGGTGGGGGGGCAGGAAACATGTAATGAATGTGGAGCATCAAGGCTAACTCAGGCAAACCTTCACTGAGATATAAACAAATATATTTTTAACATATTTTACTCAGAAAAAAAGACATTGTGCCCATTTTATCAATCAAATTGAACAAAAATCGTGCCTTTTTGTCGCTTTTCTCCCCCAGGAACTCGTATTATCGCTCACTCAGAAAACCACCATGCCTTCGGCTTTTGTAAAACATATATATTTTATTCAAATATATATATTAGAATCAAATATTCTATTTCGATATGGTCATTTGATATGAATTAGGTAAATCCTCCCTATTTTTAATAGTAAAGATGTGTATATAAGTATATATTCTGATGGGTTTATTTCTGCAGCGAAGCCTCGGTTTGGGGAATTTTAAAGCAGTTGTTTTTGGGGGGGGGTCGGATCCACATCGTTCCCACCTGATGGTTCGGACCGAGGCGGGACCAAGCCGTTTAACCCAGATCTGACAGCAGGTCTGGACTTTACTCTGAGACTGGAGCAGCTAAAAACACCCAGAGTCCCGGTTCATGCGGTCACAATAAAGGGAAACATGACATCAGACGCCTCTGCAGTCACAGAAACTACACCCAAACACACACGGAGGAAACGGCTTCACAAAACCTCAGAGCGACAAGGGACTTCCCATAATCCCTCAGTGTGTGTTTGCGAGCGCGCTCTGTGGTTACTCCGTCTACTAACCGTCGTACGGCTTCTCATGAAAAAAGTCTCAACCCTCATTTGTTTCTCATCCAGACTCGGTTTCCATTTTTAGATCATCCGTTGCCTCGTCCGGATCGTTTCCAGGACAAAACCAGCCAAACTGTTAGACCCGTGCTGCCTTACCGTCTGTTCTCATGCATTACTGTTACTCCTGTGATGGTTATTTTATTAACGTGACTACTTGGATTCAGTCGTACCCTCGTGCCGCAGCCCAACTTCTCCATGAGTTCCCAGTTTGAGTTCTCGTACCGGTTTGCTCTCACGGCGCCTGGAAGGTCGGATTATACTCAACGTTATACACACACAGAGGGAAGAACAGGCTTCTTTTTTTTCTTTTTAGTTTGTATATATTTTTTTTCATTATGGTGGATTCTGTATGGAGAAAAAAAAGTGTTGTACTGTTTAACATTTTTAACATTTGTATTATTTGACATCTTTTTCTTATACTCTGTCTCTCCTCTCTTGCCCTTCTTATTTTCACTCCAGAGGAGAGACTGGGCTTTTGTTATTTTATTTTTATTTTTTTCAAGCTTCTGTTTCTATTCTGTATCTGTTCATCTTCATTTGTAATTAAACAATAATCAGGGTTCATTAAAAAGGTGAAAATGGTCACTTCCTCTGTCTTTATTTGATCTAATATTTGCTTTGGCAAACAATTCGAACCTGGAAACCTAAAACGACTAAAACAAGTTTTGCCAAATCTGGAAAAAAAACCTGCTGAATACGTATTTTAGCAATTTTAGAGTAGAAGGAAGTTAAAATAAAACTGTAAAGAAAAAGGTAGCTTTGGATATAATGTCCTCCTTTGAGTAGAGATTGAAAGAAGGTTCACGTTTTATCTGCCTGAATGAGAAAGCTGCTCCTCTCTGCTGAAGTGGCTCTATTACACAGAAACATCATAGTATAGTCACTGTTCTTCTGTACTGAAGGTGCTCTATTGTTTGACCAGGCCTGCTGCTGTTCGACATTAAAACGGCAGTTTTGTGCCAGTGTGTTCTGAGTAGTCACTGCTCCCAACAATGGAAGGGTTCAGTTATCCCTGAGAGCTCCTCTGCGTCCAAAATACTGCTACCCAGAAGAGCTTGAAGTAGAGCTGCTGCTTCTCTTCATCGAAGAGGTTTAGTTGATCCGACTGAGCTTAGAGACGCTGCTTCTTTATGGTAAAAAGTTTAAAATTAAGCCCCTGCTTCACCAACATGAAGGCTTCTTGTTCTGAGTGAGCTCAGAGTCTCTGCTTCTCTACATTAAAGGACTTTATTTGGCTGTAGTTTGAAATGTAGCCCCTTCTTTCCCTGACTGAAAGGACTTGTTAAGTTACTGCTTCTCTACATCGAAAGGGCTGTTATCCTATTATAGTTTAGAGTGGAGCTGCTGCTTCATCAGACTGAAAGGGCTTTTTATTCTGAAGAAACAGTGTTTTCCTTTTTTTTTTTTTTTTTTTATTACATCTAAATTGGGAGACCGCTCAGGAGAACCAAAACATGTGTGTCTCAAGGTTGGGTTTGGTTTAGAGGACCCAAATGCAGAGAGGCTGAGGAGATTTCTAGGAGTTTTAATTAGGCAAAAACAGTAAACAAAGGCAGGAATCCAAAAATCCAACTAATAATGAAAAGCAAACCAGAACTAAGGAGACATCTGGAGAAACCAAACACGAGGAGCCAGGGAGAGACGAGGTAGGTGGAGGACAGCAAAGACAAGGAACCAACACAGAGGGAGAGCATATATAGCTGACTGAGACAAAGGGAGGGCTAACGAGCTGACAAGGAGCAGGTGTGAGAGGAGACAACGAGGGAGCCAAGGGGAAAGGAACACACACACAAGAGGACAACAGAAAAACATGAGAACTAACATAAATCTAGAAATTACAACAAAAAAGGAATTAAACCAATAAAACTAGGAAACATGGAGCCAAGTAAAGCATAATAGAAACAAGACCATGACAATGTGAAGCTGGAACCATACATCTGTTTTTACCTGGAAACACCTCGTAAGTCTGATGAGCGACAGGAGCTGGAATTTAAAGGGGGGCAAATAAAGGTAAATATATTTAATTGTTTAATACTTTGTCTGAAGCAGATTTTAAATACTATATGATTAAAACGCTGTTTTGCTTTTACTTAAAACAGGTTATCTAGCATTTCTTTAAACATTCATATGCAGTAGAAGAGATTTTATTAATCATACTTTTAGTTTTTTACCATGTGTCTGAGCGCTCAAAGTTGGCGCTAAGAAAGTAAGAAAACATATAAACACTGATAGACCTGAAAAGGTCACATTCCTGTATGCGATTACATTATCTGATCATGGCCTGTTAGTGATATCTGTTCATAAATCACCCAAGGAGTCTGGATCGACCAGCGATTGAATCATAATCATATTTGTATATTTTATTAAATATAGAAAAAATCTTTTGGAGATCTAATTATTTGCAGAATTTCTCTGCAACAACCAAAATTTAAGTTTAGTTTTGTCTCTCAAAAGCAGTAAATCTGAGGAAAACTTCCAGTAAGTGATGAAGTTTCCCAGGTTATTTTTCTCTCTCTTGACCCAAATGCCTCAGACTTTTTTAATTAGCCTTAAGTTTATATACCAAGCCTGTTAAATGTGCCAATGACTCAGTTTTCTGATGTTCTGTTTACCTTTTAACTTTCTCTGAAGTTTTCTGAGCACATCTCTGGCTCCTCCTGCTGCCGTCTGCCAGTACTGCACCTCAGTTTCCCCTCAATCTGCTGCTCTCCAAACTCTACCAAGCAGCTCTGCTGGCTCGTGAACGCAGAATGGTTTTATAATTGACTTTTCCTGGAGATTGTTTACATAAAACTGTAAACACGAGTTTGAGTCTAGACCGATCATTGAGCTGGCCTGGAAACTTGGATGAGAGAGAGAGAGCCTGACTGTGGGGAGAAAATAAAAGGCTCTTTAATATTTGTGTATCTCTGTGAACTTCAGATGTGTAATTTACAAAAAAAAAATGTGATTTGATTTTCACATCTGCCTCCCATCTGAAGCTGGAGACCCAATATGCTTTATCACTGCAGATTTTTAAATAAGCTATGTCAGCTTTAGGGGAAGGAATGTGACTTTTATTTAAGTTTCTGATCAAAATGGTTTCCTGAAATATCTAAAAAGAAGGACACCGTCCCTTTATGTAAGATGGCTATATATCTCACATTATCTAAAGGATCATTACCGTATGATTTGTCAGCATAAAGTTAAAGAAGTTAGCTCTAAAGTATCTAAATAAAACACAAAGAAAATTGAAATGCATTTTTTCTTAAATTGTTAAGCCCCAGCTTCTGGGATGTGAAGGCAAATCTCCAAAATTAAAATAGTTTTTATGAAAAGTTAAACATAAGTACCAATAATTGTCTTTAAAAAAGATGGAGCAAAAAGCACCACTTACTGCTGCCTCAAGGAGGGTACACTGCAAGAAATCTAAATCTAGATAAGTCATTGTTTTCTTAAAAATAAGTGCATTTGTTCTTGAATTGAGGAGGTAAAAGAGACATTCTGCCAATGAAACAAGACAATTTACACTTAAAATAAGAAAACACTATTGCATTGTCTTATTTCAAGTACATATTATCTAATTATCTTATTTTAAAAGTAAAATTACTCAT